CGATGGTGTATGCGTTTGGAGTGGACCAGCGCAGTTCTCTGTCAACTGTGAAATGAAGCTGAATACCTATCCTTTCGATATGCAGTCGTGTGATATGAAGTTTGGCTCTTACAATTATGCGCGCAACAAATTGAGATTGAAAGAATTCAAGACCAAGGGCAACAAAGCTGGTAAAAGCGAAATCCAATTTAAAAGTCATGATACTTTTGTTTAAACATTTTTTATCAAAAATCTTATACAATGCATTGCGGCCTGATCAATTTTACTTGAAAAATAGCAAGTAGTCGAGTTCCTTAAAGAGTTAAATGTACTGATATCTAGATTTATCATATAATTACCTATGAAATACCTATATTTCTCTCTTTCGACAAGTTTTTATTTTCACTAGTGAAAATAACGCCTTCGTAAGTAAAAAATGTTATTTTACGACACAATTTGCTCTCATATACAATTATATGATAAACAGAATATTGCATGTTTGCTTGGAGATACGAATTTTATCTTCTCGTGTTGAAAATCTCTCTTTATCTCTTTTCATCTTTTCAAGATTTTAAAAAATCCGTATCATACGCGCGCCTATATCCTCTATTTATGTAATATATATGAAATAAGTTTTAAAGGCAATTAAAATGATTATTCAACTCACCTATTTTCGAACTATCAAATCCTTCRACAAAGATTTTCCATTATTTTTGAGTGTGAAAATTGTTTAGTCTTTTTACACTGTTTAGACGTTTAAAATATGTATGTTTGTTTTTTTTTTCAGATAGGTACATCGACAGCGGCGACTGGGATCTCATTAGTTTCAAAGTTATTTCTGGAGAAACCGATCATGGGAATTGCTGTCCTTACTCGTTCAGTGAGATCACCGTTAGAATTGGCCTGAAGCGAAAATTCCAATACCACTTGTTCTATYTCGTKGCACCATGTGCCCTACTCTCCGTGCTCTCCCTAGTAAGCTTCTTCATCCCCACAGAGAGTGGGGAGAGGATTGGTTTTGTCACTACACTCTTGCTGGGCATGATGGTTTTCCTGCTGATTATTCCAGAGTCCCTTCCCGAGTCCTCTAAGTCCATTCCGATTTTAGGCGTCCTTATGATGGCAACAATGATYATGATTTCGTTAATTCTTCTMATTACGATATTYATTCTCAAGTGCTTYCACTCCAAGCGCAAGCCTCCCAAGTTCCTAAGGCATAATTTGGCCCGTACACAATCGCACAAGCCGATCTCCAAGTCTGACCAATCACCTCCCTTGGGAGTGGATAACATTTCTCTAAGAGCCGTGGCCCCGGATTCCAGGCCCCCTTCTACTAACGCGTTTATGAAGACGAAGAAGGAGATGGATAACGAAGCAACTTGGCAGGCATTTTCGCGCCTTTGTGATAAGATCATGTTCGTCACGTTTCTTATTTTCACGGTAATCTTGTATGCTGTGACCTTGACCTATCGGGACTAAAAGCTTTGTTACTCATCACATCCCAGACACAATCTTTTGTGTAATATTGATGCTACAATATGATGTTTGTAACGGAAAACAAGATCTGGGTACTCAGAATATCCCACAATATATTCAGCCGATTGAGATGTTGAAATCTACAACATTTTGTGACTGCGTCCCTGGAGTTAACGGCCTGTTACTCATGATATCCCACAATCCTTTGTAATGTTAAAATATACCATTCAGTATTTTGAGCTTGCGCTTCTTAGTGAACTAAAAAAGGTCTGGGTAGTGGTTATGTCCCAGAATCCTTTGGATTGTTAATATATATATACTATAAAATTTTCGAAATAATTTACTAAAAATCAATCAATCCATTATAATCTCAGTGAATATCCTACAATCCTTTGCAACATACTTTGCATTGATTATTAATTTATGGTAATGTCAAATTAAATCCAAAATGTAGATWATAGAAAATCTGAGAAATCGCAAAAATTTTGCTAAGTGAATTGCAAAAAATCGAATCATGCCAAAATTGATTGATTATTCTAATATTTTCCATCATAGAAACGAGACTATCCTCGCCTGTATYGAACATCCCATACAACATCCAATAACTGTGACATTTTACTTAAAATTATATAACCGTAACATTCAAATATCATTTCTGCGTTAAATGAGTGGTTTGCGTTATATGAAACTCAATAACTAGACTATATAATTATAATATTTTGTTGTATGTCATTGCGAGATAAAAATAAAATAAATTAGTGAAATATCTACTTGAAGTTTTAATCAAATCTYAGTAAAATGGACGTGCTCAAGTCTGAAGTCAATCTGGCTCACACTCGCCAATATATTACAGAGCTGTTTAAAAACGGTTTGGTTCTCTATTTCTGCAATATCTCAGTTTACGCCTTTGCTGTAGATAAGGTTGCCAGGCTGAGAAAACTGGGAATATAGAGCCGAAAGGTATGTACTTTGGGTATTCAATTTTTGTTGATATCTGCTCGAAAATAACAAAAATCATCAACATTACCTGCGTAGGCTTGAATCGCCAATACATACTAGAAATATTATAGTAGCGCCACCGTGATTCGACTTTTATAATGGTAAATATTTTTTATTCAGATATTTATAACAATGTAAATTTTATATGTACAGCCTTTTGCACAAATTATGAGACATTTTTATATATATAAATATACAGCCTTTTGCACAAATTATGAGACATTTTTATATATATAAATATACCTAACCAAATATCAAAAACACCCAAGAAATTATGGGATACCATCGCTGATATTTTGTCTGTAACAACCTGATGCTAGGCAATCATGACAAAATATAATAGAGATATACACCATAATTTCCGGGGTGTTTTTTATATTTGGTTAGGTATATTTATATATATAAAAATGTCTCATAATTTGTGCAAAAGGCTGTATATGATATATATATATATTTTGCTAAATTAAAATACCGATAATTGTACCTTTTTGTAAAGTATCTATCCTCATGAGTCTAAAAAGCATTAGGTATTATGTTTATATCTAATCATGCAATGATAAAAGCTTAAAATCAAAGAGAACAAGATAAATGTAATTTTCATAACGTCACCGTTCCCAGTTCGAAGTCTTCGACTAACACCTTGCCCGGGACACCTTTCTAGCAATAATGTCTATTAAGACATTTTTATGAAAATGATTGGTTAAATCAAAACCTTTACCGAACATATGAACTTTCAAGAATGCGTTTCATCTCCATGAAGTAGATTTTGACATGTTGAATATTAATATTTATGATATATTTCGGACGTAACACACGATATCATTGGCTAAAAAGCGGGCCATACTTTCCCGTACGGACCAGATGAAACGAGAAAGAACGATTTTTATCTTAAAAAGGCTCGCTTTCTCTGTTTTTGTTATTGTACTGTATAAAAGAGTCAAAAATGAATCCAAATTTTGCCATCAAGGTTTCTGAGGCTTTTCTTTTTTTCCTTCTATTTTGAATGACAAGAAAAGTACGAACAAAAACGTATCTTTATGTCCGATTCTCTATTAATTTTACTATTTTTCCCTGAAAATGCTATATAATAAATATCTTATTAACCTCGCTTGCTCGAGCCGTACGGGAAGCTATGGAACCTTGTTTTTTTCCACTTTTTATAGCCCTCGCGCTACGCGCTCTGGCCCGTAAGTCAGTGGAAAAAAACTCGGTCCATAACTTCCCGTACGGCCCTCGCGCTAGCGCTCTGGTCATAAGTCAGTGGAAAAAAACTCGGTCCATAACTTCCCGTACGGCCCTCGCGCTCTTTGTTATTGACGAAATATCAGGTGATCGGTCGAAACTGAAAGCAATCAATCGCTCTCACTAAGTGTGCATGTCGCAAAATGTTGTTATACTGTAAACATATAACTGGTTGCCAAGGTCACATGATGTCAAACAATTGGAATTACCCAGCTGTGACTTTTTCAACTCATTAGGGTGAGTGAAGGCAACAGCGTGGCGAACATCTTTGAAATCCGTCATAAAAACATTGTCAGCAAAACCAAAAGTCGTCGAGGAGCAAACATGTTTCTYAACTTGGTCAGCATTGCAGTGATTTTTTTTGGTAAGATTGTTGTTATTCAACTTTATTTTTATAAAAGTATTTTAGCTCAACTGTGGGCCATGCATTATTTGCTTTGCATGGTTGGCTCTTGAATCAAATCTATGAATTGTACGTAACGTAACTATACCTTGAACTTGAACTTATAGAAGGGAGTGTACGTATACCAAAGGAATGGTTTTTTAATGTTTTGTAATGCAATCTTCAGTTAAACATATGTTCAGTTTGGTTTCGTAGTTTAATCATTGTTCATCGTATTAAGTAATCCATTCAATATTAATGAACRATGAACATTTAAAAGCTATATATAAATACAAAAAATAATAGAATTATTTGCAAATACCTACCTATACTATCTTCTAATAGAAAATAAATCTGTCAATTGTTTTTATTTAAGCTGCTTTCAACTCTATGGTCTTTCATGATGTTCAAGTATTTGTAATTTGTTTTTTAAATGCTTGACAGAATCTTCTAGCCTCTCATCACGTGACGTGATATGATGTGATTTCACGCAATAGCAGCTCTATATAAAACTATTTTAGTGAGAGCCTTAGTGCGCGGAATCAATTGGGACGTTTGCTCCTCTCGGGGTTTTGACCATTGGTTTATATTTGCACAGTTTGTATAACTTTCAACTTTGACTTTATAGTGGCGCTAATTTTGGTCCAGATGTTCGGTTGGAAGTTTATCTTTAACTTTTTAATGAAACTTGTTTTGTAAYAGTTTAATACTTCTGAAATATTCCTGGCACTTATTTCATTTGACGCTACTAATAATCTGATTAAACGGAATTATTGTTTTTTAATCTTAAAAAATTTATGAGAGTTCCGTTTAAATTCAAATAACATACAACATTAGTATGAGTAATTATCACCATTTTGAGAGCCCTGCATTGGTCTGTTCAACTCAGTAACCACTTTGGCAGATGAWGAATCTAAATTGAAGTCGGCAAATCACATATATATTACTGACAAACAATAGAGAATATTTTGCCGTCTAGATCTGCAGGGGTGCTTTCAAAAATATGATAAATTCATGATGATAACAACGTTATTTGTTTCTAGTCTTTTCTTTTTACTTCTCTATTATCATTCATGTTTACAAAAAAAAATTGTTAATGCCTCTTCTTGTATTGCGGTTCTTTTGCCCGTTGTGCTCTTGTTTTGTCCTTCAGCTAACTCTTTCTCTTCCCTTAATTTGTTCTCTTTAATCTGCTCTTGTTTTTTCCTTATTGAATTAGCTGATTCATCTTCTTTGGCKTGTTCATCTTCTCATCCTCCAATTCTCCTTCTCTTAGAGTGCTTCTCGGTGCTTTTTTCCTCCTCCTGACACTTTTCCATCTTCATTCGTCTTGTCTCTAGTTTGTTTTCCCTTTTCATGTACCTCTTATTCTTTTTATTTTGTATTTTTCTTCTTCGGCTTCTTTGTAGCTTTATTCGTCTTACTTTCTGCTGCTTTTGTTGTTATTGTTGCTGATTCTTTCTTTGGTTTGTTCATCTTCTYATCCTCCAATTCTTCTTCGTCTAGAGTGTTTCTCGTCCTTTTTTCCTCCTCCTCAATGGCACTTTTCMCTCTCGTACCATCTTCGTCTTCTTCCTTGTCTATCTCTGTTTTTTTTTTCACTTTTCGTTTACTTCTTATTCTTTTCATTTTCTACTTTTCTTCTGCTTTTTCATTGTTTTCTTCGTCTTATTCTACTTTCTGCTGCTCTTGCTGTTATTGTTGTAAGTTCCTCTTCTTGTTTGTTTTATTCCTCTTCTTCTTCTTCTAAACGTCTTTCTTTCTTAACGTCTCGCTCTTCCTTTGTAGTGACCATGAACTCCTCAGAAGGCTTATCGAACACTTCTTACGAACACCAATTAAGAGCCCTGATTCTAGATAATTACGACAAGGTCGTTCGTCCAGAAGTCAGGGGCAATTCTAGAATACCTATTACTATCTTCTTTGGACTCAAACTGAATAAGCTGGCCAAAGTGGTAAGCACTAGCCCTACAGTTAGATTAATTACATATTTTACTAGTTAAATGCATTCTAATATTATCCTCATCATTTAGTTATCATGCTAGTAACAATCTCTCGATCGAACAATACATTTTATAATGAAAGTCGTCATAAACTTAGCAAATGGAATTGCTCATTAGGAATCTCATAATATTTCATTTTCAGAGCATCAAAGAAGAAATTATTACAGTGGACACATTTGTTATTATGGTAAGGTATAGCAATTGACCGTACGTATKTGATCGTATAGCTTTTATCTACGGGTGACTCCGGGCTAAATTTACCGGGGATGCTCGTCGGATCTCTTAGGAGTAAAAATTCTTGATTGAGAATCTTTTATGGTGCCAATTTGGAGTTTCTGGAAATTTGCATTTTCTGCAATCTCTTACGGTGTGGAAAAGAAGAGAAAGAGCGCATCGATATTGATTTTCCTCTGCGTTTTTATTTTTGGAACTGATTTAATTAAAAAAATTTGTTGTGCAACCTTTTTYAGGGGTTAAAAATTAGTCAGACACGCCGCTCTTTTTTCAAGACTTCCGAGATTTTTTAGGGATCTTCTTTTAGCTTGTAATTGCGATTGATGAATACTACAATTTCCAGAAATTCCAAGCGCCATCTTGAAAAGTAGTTTAGCCAAATACTGTATCGTGTCAATCAACTGAAAATATTCCCCTCCCCTCCCCTCCCCTCCCTCCCGCATCAATGTTGCATGCAGGGCTTAATGAATGGACAACCAATGAAAAGAAAGCCACACAACATTGTATTGGGGGAAGGGGGGGAGGGTTCACGAGGAAGGTTATATCGAGGAATAGTGTGAGAAATGTCGTGCGTGCGTAAAAATTGTCAACATTTATGTACAAGATTGCAGTCATTTAGCAATACGTATTGTCAATTGTGAATATTGAATATTTGATAGCGTATATATATTTATATTATTTGCAGAAATGGAACAACACATTTATCACATGGGATAAGAACAAATATGGAAAAGTTGACAAGATCAGCTTTTTACCATCTGAGATTTGGTTTCCTGATATTTCTCTTATCAACAAGTAATATACATTTAGTATAAWTATCTAGTTGTCTCTAGATTAATTGTTTTAATATCAGACGTTTYGATCTGGTCKCAGATCTTCTTYAGTGCAAAATCAATCCKTTACAAATTGTTTGCGCGCGTGTTGTGAAAATTAGCGTCCTCGAAATATACATGTATATCAATTCAATCAAGCAAGTCACTCAATCTGAGGCCGTCTCATCGTGATTATAAGTTTCCTTAACGTTTAGTTGACCTTTTCTGATTAACTTACCTAAATTCGAGACAATTCTTACCGAAAAAGACGTCTTGAGAGCCTTGACCGTTATTCCATTCAGAATCAAGCAAGATTTCTTTTTTTCTTTTCTTTTCTTTATTTTTAGCGCCGATAGCACAACACGCAAAGCAGGAGGGCCGACTTTTTTCTCGTCTCTTATGGTTGTGAGCAACACAGGGGAATGTGTTTGGAGTGGTCCTGCGACATTCACAGCAAGCTGCAGTATGACGCTCAATTCCTGGCCCTTTGATGACCAGATATGTACCTTGACATTCGGCTCAGTTGTATATGGAAAACACTTGCTCACAATCAAGCCATTCGAAACCAAAAGTCCTAAAGGAGGTTTGTATTTGAGACTATTTAAAGTGTTCAGTTGTTCAAGTATTCATTTTTTCAAAAACAAACAAATAATTGTTGATGTGACCATGACCTTGACCTTGCTGTCACCTCGTCAATCATTTCAAGACTTAGACTTAATTATCTTAATTATATGCGCATGAACTTTTGCACTTAGGAAAACGACCATTAGCAAATAAGATGATAGCATTTTCACGTCTCTCTTTCAGAAAATTTCGAAGACAGTGGAAACTGGAAAGTAAGCTCGGTGGTAAAGGTTGGCCTTCAAGAAACCAGCTTCGGAAACTGTTGTCCTTTCAATTTCAGTCAAATCACTTTTAGCATAGACATGGGGCGTCGATTTGAATATCATCTCTTCTACATGGTCGCACCAATTTTTTCTCTTTCCTTGTTAACCCTTGTTAGCTTCTGGATCCCGTCAGAGAGTGGGGAGAGRATCGGTTTTGTCACCACACTCCTTCTTGGTATGATGGTGTTCTTGCTGATTGTTCCAGATTCTCTTCCCGAGTCCTCGCAGTCCATTCCAATTTTAGGCATTCTTATGATGTGTACGATGGTTGTRATTGCCTTAGCACTTTTGGCCACTATTTTTGTTTTAAGATGTTACCACTCCACAGGAAGCCCGCCTCGCTGTTTTCAGTGCTGGATGAAGCGCTCCAAATCGAGAAAAACGGAACCTTCGGAATTCGTCGAGAGCTCGAAATCTTCCCAAAATGATATAAAGTTGAGAGCMGTTCAGCCAAAAGTAGAGTTGYCAGAAGAGGCATCTTACAAATCGAGTGCCGAGGACGATAGTCCTTGGTCTACATTCTCCGAGAAGTTTGACAAAATCTTCTTCTGGTTGTTTTTCATTGTTATTGTTGTCT